TAGCGAACATGCAAGTTGTGGGTCGAAAATAAGGAAGATATCGTCCGTTGAAGATTGCAACCGCTCAAAAACCGTTCAAAATAGGCAGAAAATGTGGATTATTTGGGAACTGGAAAGTTCCCGGTGTCTTTTAATTAGCGCGGTGCATTCATTGTTGTTTTTTTTTCCTTTTTTCGAGACTCCGCAGATTAATTGCACAGTTTGATCATTTCCAGTTTAGAAGAGCGACTGTTCAAAATTCGCAAACAGGCGCGTTGGAAACCGCGCAATACAGAATCAGCAAATCCGCCTGGCTGAAGAACGAAGAGCACAAACATATCGCGGATGTGGCCCGAAGAGTGGAAGACATGACCGGACTTTCCATGGAAACGGCCGAAGAACTGCAAGTGGTCAACTATGGAATTGGAGGGCATTATGAGCCGCACTTTGACTTTGCCCGAGTAAGTTGCTTCAGCTAACTGTTTTCCTTAAGTAAAACTCCCAATTTCTAGAAAGAGGAAACCAACGCTTTCCAAAACTTGGGCACTGGAAACCGAATAGCCACAGTGTTGTTTTACGTAAGTTCTTCGTTTGAAGGCTTCTGAGAGATTTCTAAACGAAAAGTTCTAGATGAGTGACGTGGTGCAAGGCGGAGCGACAGTTTTCCCAATGGCCAGAACGGCCCTCTGGCCGAAGAAAGGGACAGCAGCCTTTTGGTTCAATTTGTTTCCCAGTGGAGATGGAGATAAACGCACTAGACACGCCGCATGCCCAGTTTTGGCAGGCTCAAAATGGGGTAAAAACCACTCAATTTTCCATGTTCAAACAAAAATCTGACTAATTTCAGTGTCGAATAAATGGATTCATGAGCGCGAGCAAGAGTTCCGCAGGCCGTGCACGACTGAGCGCCCGCCTGAACATCTAACAGCCTAAAAATCACAGAAGCAATGGAAAATTTATTTAAAAAATTCGTGAAAATGGTTCTAATTTGCGCTGCTGCTAAGTGAATTTCAGGAATATTGGCCAGCAGAGGTCGATATCAGGGCCAGAACTACAAAAAAGTTACTCTCTAAAACAGTAAACCAGCGTGTATTAAATAGGCGATTTTTGTTTAATAACCATATATTAAGTATACATGAATCTCCATATTTTATAGACATATTTTGTATATAATGAAATTAAATTAATATAATTTGATTGTGGCTTATTACCAGCGTATATAAAGAGCACAAGCGGGTGGAATTGTGCTGAAACAGGTCGACTTTCTGTATGAACGTTGCAAATTTGAAACCTAAAAAACAAGAGTTTCCTAAAGGAAACTTACATAAATCAATGATTGAAGCTGATAACAGTGATTGTGCAAGAAGCTGATGGTCAAAAAATAGAGGGAAGCATGAGTTATTAGTTGCTTTCAAGCATCCACGTAACATAAAAAATTTAAGACATTTTAACAATTCGTAAAATTGCTGGTTATTAACGGCAATAAACAGTCGCAATATTAACAATTCGGATAATTCCATGTAACAGGCAGAAAAATTCAAATGGTTTGGATTCCGAAAAAAATAAGGCTTGGTGATTAGATTGGGGCACTGAGCAAACCACCTCTGAAGATGCGAGCCACTTGTGCTGGCGAAACGTCTGAAAAGGCCAGAAAAAATCGCCAATTTGTTGTGCTGAGCCCATCGGGCAGCAGATATATTTTTTTACAAAGTTCTTTTTGGGTATTTTGCCTCAAAAATGTTTGTCTTTAAAAAAGACAGAATTTCCTCACGTCTTTTATTACAGATCTGCAATTTTTAAAGACAATTTTTGAGACGAAATACCCAAAAAGAAGTTTGTAAAAAAATGAATCCGTCTCAACAATATAGAACTTATCTACAACTTTTTTGGGTGGTGCGGACGGTTAAGCAAAAAATATCTGCCGTCGGGCACAACACGGATTGAACTGAACAATTGGGAATTTTTACCAGTTTTCTAGCCCCCAATCCAGTGTCGGACTCTGCGCAATAAATGGATTAAAAACTGATGAGTTTTTCGGGCTTTTGCTTTTCCAGCCCGATCTAAAAACCCGAAGAACTGACCAGTTTCATGGAAGTATCTAGTAATATGATTTGCAAAAGTTAACACTTTTTATGGCTCTTTTCTCTCTGGAATTTTCCAGTTGCTTAACAAACATTTCGAATCATTAGCGATTTATTAAATATTAACTTTTCTCAAATTTTTCCGATCACGATCGCCAGGCAAATAGTTAGATACATAGAAGACTTAAACTTGTAATCCATAAACCATGTAAGAGGAGGCGATTATATTTGATGGGACTTTTCTTCGGCATTCTTGGCGGGATTTTTTCGCGATTTCATAAATAGATTGGCCCCACCTTCGGAGGCGCGCCGAAAGCTACCGGGCGAACCTCCAACAGTCAAGCTCGAAGGACCAGAACCTCCGGGTTGAACGTCGGGTTTTTTGGCCTTAGATGGCGACCATAATGCTGCCTAAAATAACCAAAATTAACTGTTTTTTTACGTGGAATATGGGGAAACTTTAACCTACCTAGGGTGGAAATGCAACAGAGCATGCAAACATCGCCTAGAGGTTTAACAGGCCGGGTAGAACAGCGAACATTTTATTCAAATAAATGCCCTTCCACTAAGATCTGGTATATTTATTAATACTTTCTCATTTTCAGTTAAGTACAGGAATATAATATATAATTCATTAAATTACTCGCCGTGTTACGGGCGGTTTAGGTTGAGAAATTTTCAGAAACGCTTCCAATAAATTACGCATACAAATTTAAAGACTTATCAAAATAGGGAAATATGTGTATAGGATACGAACAATGGACATTTTGTGCAGGAATTTTACCCTGTAGGAAAATATACAACAGTGTGTTGGCAGATGGGTTGGACTCTGGTTCTGGGGGCGCATTAAAAAAGTCATTGCCAGAAGAACCAGAAGCCGCAAAAGGGGCTAATCACACTGTCTGATAAGATATCTGCATTCCTTCTGGGAACATCTAGTATAAAATACATCAAAATGTTGAAAAGAGGCATGCTATGAAGGGAAACATTTAAGCACAGTATACAGGGCGAATCAAAGTGTTCTTCACTTCATTAACAGCACTAAAGAGCGATTGATTCTGGTGGCTTCACTTGAATATGTATTCACCCTGTATATGGATTAAGTCTGTACAGTAATTTACCTACTACAATACAATACAAGTACGAGAAGGTTGAGCAAAATTTTGATTTTTTCAACAGACTTTCCAAGGCGCCGTTTGTGAAACATCGAGGAGTTAGTGCGAAGATAAAATTTTCAATTCGCCATAGAATATATATGAAGTCCTAACTGCAGTAAAATAATTTCAATGATCATTTAACACCTAAGAGTAATGCACCAACATACAACAGCTAGTGTAGACGGGGTCACATTGATAAGTTATATCTGATCAAGGGGGCAAACATCGATATATTTTGGGTATACAAATAGTAAAATGCAATATTGGGTAGAAAATACATCCGGTTAAAGTTGCGTAAACCAATTGATTGCCATCACATGAACGCCTGGTCCCTTCCAGATTATTCGAGCAGAAATATACCCAAAATACGTATTTCACAGTACATCGATACGGGAAGGGAACAATACACCAAAGGATCTGAATGCAACGTAAAAAGGTGGATATTTAGATTTCGTAATTTCTGAATTTACTGACAACTTCGCTGTGGGAATCGGCCCCAGTTGACCAGGCGTTTCCTGTTTTTGCTCCCCAATGCAAATTGGCCCCGCCTTCGGACGCCCTTCGATGGGCGGCAGACATCGCCGAGCCCAAACTGGACGGTCCAGAATTGCCGCCCGACTCCAACATGCGATCCTTTGTTTTGGGAGTGGACCAATGCATTGACTGAAAATTTGAAAAAAAAATCACTAAATCAACAACTTTCCACGCTCTAGAAAAAATGGCTTTCAGCGAACTTTTGGTTCTTATTGCATTTGTGCCTGTATGAGTTTGCGTGAAGTGGGATTTTTATTAAAAAAGCCGTTCAGAGCTTGGCAGAGTCGAATGGAAGCACTCATCCATAGTGCAATAAATGAGGGCGGCATTGATTTTCCCTGAACGTCGAGAGGGTATCTATGTGTAATCAAAAGTGGAGAGGATTTGTCTGCAACTGGAAAACAGAGCAAAATGCAGGAGTTTATGTGCCAAATCAATAGCAACTTTTGCGTGAATTCTGGTTGAGTAGTCAAGCGAGCTCAGAAAAAAATGCTGGTTGTATTGGTTAATATTTTTGCGTTTTGAGATCTCCTGAGTCAGTAGTGGCAACTAGAGATCGAGTATGAGTTGAAGTCTAAGAGCGGTTTTTTAAAAGTGAAATTTTTACACTTTTTTATGTCGGTAGCAACTATAACAGGGGCGGATCCAGCTTTAAAGCCAGGGGGGGTTATGTAGAAAAAATACAGTCTTCTGTTGTTTATGAACTTAGAAGAATGTTCGTCGTTTTGTGCAAGGATGGCGCAAGATTATTGCAAAATTTCATGTTTTCCGTCCCGTTTTGCATGTCTCTCGGAAGCAAAATGAGCAAGAACGCTCGACTCAAACATGACGCTGCTTTTTTCGAAGTTTCTCAAGAACCATTCGAGTCACAGAATTCGTTTTGGCATTGTTGGATA